TCAACCATGTTCCCATTTCCTGAAACATGACACCCATAGAAAATGTTACAAATATTTAATGTAATTTACCTCTGGAAAGTTATTTCAGAGTTTCTCACATAAATATGATTCTGTTTTGAGCAACGGTAGTTACATTTACAATTGAGGCTTGTACCTCAAATGAAAAACTAATCCAGATTAGTAGGATAGGAATGCCAAGTACATAATCCAAACCATTCCAAACGATTGTTTTTCTGTAAATTAAATGCAAGAGTCTGCAATTTACCCTAATGATGCTTAAAACAATTTACCTTCAAAATGATGAATGCATCAAATAAAGTGGATATTTGGCTGTGTTCTGCGTGTATTTGACTAGAACGCTCATCAACATTCCAGTGTCGTTCTGAATTATTCTCGCACTAACTTCAAACTTGAGCACTTAATTGAACTTTGCATTCCGCTGCTCTCGTGCGTACCATGTATAAGATTTCACATTTCTTTCATTGAGATATTTAATATACCGCCGTAAACCGCTACAAGCTTCGCGATCTCGACACGGTAGACATGTTATTCGCCCAGAATGCAACGCGTCATGGCATCACACTCCTCCCGTCAGGCTTAGCGTATGAAACATCCGCGAAGGAAGAAGCGTGTGGTACGACCAATACAACTGAACACAATTACAAAACTTGACAGGTTTGTTGGCTGTGTACTGGATATGCTCTTAATCCTTCTGTGTTTGTATTTTAAGGAAATACGATCCTGTATTGTATTTAAGAACAGAGCTCAATTATAGATTACTACTGAATTGTTGAGTCAAAAAAACATTTAAAAAACTGTTTTGAAATACTTTGTAAGCTACGTGAATTACAATGGCGACAGCTGTGGCTTCCCGGTTTGCTGTTCTTAGCATTGACGATGACGACGATGCTCCCAAGAAAAGTCAACCAAAGAAGAAAACAGATTCCAAAAAGCCCGGAACTGCTACTTCTGCCCAAACTAGTGCCAGCAAAAAGAAAAATGCCAAGAAAAACGAAGCCGGCAAGGTAGTGTTTTCGTTGCAGTTTTTGTTTATGTGGTTATTAGTACACATCCATTTAATGATATGAATTCATTGAAGTGCAAAACCCTTTATTGTTCTCACATGTGTGTGTAAATGTGACCACATTTTTGTCGCGAATATTAAATGGATCTGTGGTTGGTAAAACCATTTCCTCTACTCCTAGTTGAACTATGCAATATGACCATGGTTCGGAACAGGGTTGATTGAAAATTTTATTTCTCCATTAAGTGACGCACATTATTTTCCAGGGAAATCAACAAATTAATACCACCTCAAATAAATCCAAGGGTAAAGGAAGCACCAAACCAGAAGGTAACAAAGATACATCGCAAAAGAAGAAAAATCCTGCTGCCGTTCAAGAACAGTGGGACCAGTGGAAAAAGAAGGATTCAGAGGTAAGAAATATAATTGTTTTTTCATGATTTAGCTTGAAAACGTTCCTAAGGAAATTGAGACCAAATCAGCTTTTTTTCTTCTTCTTCTTCTTTGGGGAGGGGGGTTAGTGAGATAGCAGAACACATCAATGTATTATTTTAGTTAATTTCTAAAGTCAATTAAAGTTTTTATCTTGTTTGTTACTTCACATATTTTATTTTAAACCTCTTAAAAATTCGATAGGCAAAAGTAAATAGTGTTGCTCGTTCTTTGATCTTTTCAATATTTTTTTTTATTGATATTAGACATTTCTAAGGATGTGAATTTTGAGTATTGTAGTTTATGTATTCTAAATTGTATCGATTTTCTGGATTGTTTTCATTTCTATGTGGAATATGGCAACATAATTCTGCATTTTTTAGTAATCATACAAGTTTTATAACTCGTGAGCAATCTATAATTTGATTGTAATGGTTTGGATTATAATAACATCTGTATTACGTATTACTCATGTCAATGTGTTATTAATAAATAATTATAATAATTAAAATCTTCTTGAAACAAAAGAGCATTCTTAAAATGCTGAAGGATTTATTCTTGGTGTTGTAGTTAAAAGAAATTAGTAATTATGGTATTAATATGAACCATTCACGTCTTTAGTTCAAAAAATTGATTCATAAGAATCAATTGAATCTTCCCACAGCTTGTTGACTGCACATTTGAGCAAGAAATGACACAAGCAATTCTGCTTTCAAAGCTGGATTATGAACAAAAGAAAGACATATATGAGCAAACTAGAAAGGCTGCTGAAGAAGAAAAAAAACAAGGCTCAAAAAAATCAAAGAAGTCAAATAAACTTCAGACCATGTCTCTTGAAGAATTCAATACTAGACACTCTGAATCACCTGTATCAGAAGGAGATGGTTGTCCATTGAAAGACATGTCAGTACAACCAGACCCTGAGTTTTTTGATAGAATTAAAGATGATACAAAGAAAGTATTGACCAAAGAACAGGAAGCCGAGAAGAGGAAGGCCAGGGAAGTGAGTAATTCTGTATGTTTTTGCCAAAAACAGTAGGACATGAGTGTTTAAAAGGTGTCTTTTTCCTTTTAGCCTTTTATTCAAGAAACCATCACAGTAGCTCAATTGGAAGACAGACTGGAGAAAAGGAATCAAGAAAATAAAGCCCTAAGGGAAGAAGTAATCAAGCTAAAAGAAGAACTTCATAATGTGAAGTCCAGGAACAAAAAGTTGTGTAATATTTTAGCACTAGGAGAAAGTAAGTTAAATATTTTATTGTGTGGAAATTCTTTTGTGTCAAGAGATTAGTTATTATTTGTTGCTTGGTTGATATTGGCAGAAGCATGTTCACGAAAATTTATGTATCATTAACAATGTATTCAGTTTTTAACTATGAACATCCATGCCATTGCAATTTCCCTTCTAGACAGAGTAATCGTTTGGCTTATCATTCAGTAAGGGAACGTTGAAGATGTGTTATTAGAATAAAAGAATGAGACTAGATTTTCTGATGATGTCTCTGTTGTTTAAAAGTTGTTTTTGTTTGAATAACATTATTGATAAAGATGACATCAACTTCAATTATTTATGACAGAATGAGACACAGTCCAAAACCAATCTTTTAAAAATTGCTTTTGTATGTGAAGGTATAAAAACATTTGTTAGCAATAAATATTTATTTAATTTAATGAATAAACAGTAAGAAGTAATAAATGAGTGCTAACATTTAGTAAATACAATCGTTTATTAAATACGCTGTGTAAAAGGAAAAAACAACAAATATCAAAACAATAACAATCAATGGCACTTTTTTCTCAGAGAGGAAACTTACCTTTCCTCTTCCAGGGTTGTAAATATCTCTCTTATGGTAGTGAATGATAACTGGAAATGTGTGCTTAAAATATAGCAGGTACACAAGTGTGCTCTAGAGATGACTTAAGCCTTGGTATGCAGGCTTCATGTGATAATATGTATGTATTATAGTTGCACCTTTTAGTGAGAAGTCGTTATTCATGATAAGATCAATATGTTGACAGGTGTAACACATTTTATTTATTTTTTGAAAGAAAATAACGAGATAACCTCACAGATTTTCTTGGTGTATGTGTTTCACCTTGTATGCAGCACAAGTAGATTTGTCTTGATGTGATGTGTGGGTATTATGTATTTGTTGCCTTGTGCAGTGAAAGAAAAGGCAGAAGTGTTGGTGGAAGTGGAGCAGTTGCAGCGCATGCGTGATGAGTTGTCTTCAGAGGTGTCATCTCTGCATGCCCAGTTGGAGCAGGAGCGCTCCAAAGTGCGCTCTCTTACTACAGACACGAAAGGAAAGTCTCAGGTAAATAGTCTTGGAACAGAACATATCTTGAGAAGTGGTTGATTCAAAGCAACTCAGTGAAGGTTAGTTGATAAAGTTATAGAATAAAGTAGACAAAATTTCTTATTTTGAGCTTACACTTTCATCATAAATATATACTATATGTCAATTAATTTTTTTTTTTACAAGTCAATTTTATCCATTGTTTTATTGACTTGCATCAGATATCAATGTTTTTTCCCTTGTTTCAACTATTGTAAGTTTGCCACCAAATACTGTGCTGTTAAGTGCAGTTTTATTTTATTAAATTAAACTGTTCAAAACATTTTCTGAAGAAAGCTGTGTAATTGGAACTAGTTATCTCAAAAAATATTTCAAATTTGATCATAAATAATAATGTGCTTATTTAAAATAATAATATAATATTTTATATTATTATATTTATAAATGATGTGTTATTGTATTAGTTGTGTGTATATTTAAAAAATATCTTTATAAGAAGCTGCAATGCAAACATTTATTCATAATTTTGTGTCAAAAACTGATTGGATTAAGAGAAAAGTATATTAAATGTACTATTATTGTCATATTGAACGATATTCCCATGACTGCTACAATACATCCAATAAAAATTAAAGTATATGGCCAATTATATAATTGCTCTAATCATCAGTTGTTATATTAATTAACACAATATGTTCATTTTTCAGAACAAGAAACGTTCAACAAGTGAGACAAATCAAGCATAGTGTTGTCAACACGTTTGATTAGGCAATGAACACACAAACACTGGCAACAGCAATGTGAGACTTGTTATTTTAGAAGATCTTCCACGTGATGAATCCTGTTTTGTGTATTCGTGTGATGTGAGATATCCCTTCGCAAGTTCATCTGTCCTAAGATGAACTGGGGTTGCCAAGAAAGTTTTCAGGGTAATTGGTGCTTTGCTACGCTGAATGTTTCCTTAATGCAAGTTTGGAGATTATCCATGGTCTTGATCAATGGTTCTAGAGAGAAAGCTGTTATAGTTCAAATTTTACAAATCAAATGGGCATTGCAATGTCACTAATTGATGTTGCTCCACTTTTGTAACTAATATGTAGTGTTAGTTTGCTTATGCTTGTATTATTATTTCATTTTTGCACTTGTTAGTGTGTACATGCTTTCTAAAATCAAGACCAATGCATTATTTGGATATTCTCCATTTGCGATACATCAGACAATGAGCAAGGAGTATTGTTATATTTCATTAGTGTCCTTAGAGACAATTCACTCTCAGAAGTTGCCGTTGTCATGTGAATATTAATAAATGTGAAAATCATGCAGCTGAAGTGGGTTCCTTGTGATAAAGCAGTTGCTAAGAAGAGTCAATTTATTAGAACTTCCTTAGACATTGCCGCAATTGTATTGCAAATGAATTTCCCTGGAAATCAGTTTCACGAAGTATTGTGTTGAACAATTTCACAAACATGGTTCTGCTTGTTTACAAGTCAAATACTGTGTGCAAAGAAATGGTGCTGAGGCTGTTTCCCTTGTATTACTGTCTATCTGCAAATAGAGATAATTTTTTGACATACAGTTGAATTTTTCTTATATTCCTGAACAAATTTCCCCAATTTATTCACAAATCATTGTTGCACCCTACCAGCATTAGTTTTGTTGCCCTAAGAATGTATTTGGACTAAAAAAATTCCCTCTTTGAATTTCAAATTCCATGGAACCTTAATAACTTTTAACTCTGAAAGGGTAAAGAAAAGATCAAATGATTGAATATTTCATCATATCAATATTTGAGTTACCAAGAGATTCTCAGGTGCTACGACTTTCTCACATTAGTAACAGTTTTGTTAAATTATAATACCGTGACTTCTGTGTCTGAGATATTAACACATCACTTCTAAAACCAATTAACAATCATAGTTTCCGACTAGAAACTGTTTCACACATCCAGACACACTGCCCAACAATGAGATGTTATTCTGAGAATTTTTAACTGCTATGTTGCAGTGCTGTATTAAAAAGTTCCTAGAAAAAGAGAGATATTCAAAAATTGGCAAAATTACACACAAGTATGTGTATTAAACACAAATTGTACTGAACATTTTTTCAAGAACAGATTTTATTCCACAACAAATTACTTATCATCAACATTGTACTTTGCAATGCTAATTTTTTGCAATTTTGGAGAATACAGAGAGATTTCCAAAAATGGAACTAGCACCATTTTCTTGACTTCTTTCTCCAAGGATAAATTTTAATAAAAAAGAATGTAGATCCATTTTTGAGAAAGTTTTGAAAATGTTGAGGCTTTGTGTAAAGTATTCCCAAAAAATTGAAATATCTGTTTCAAACTCACAAAACCTCAATTTTGTTTAGATCAATCTGTTAATAACAATTTTAGAGGAAATCATCAGAACATGTTAGGTGCAGCATTGCCCACAGGCAGATATTTGCCATCACTCAATTTTTTGGTATCAAAACCCGCAAAGCATGGATTCTGAATACACAACATGATAGATACTAGGAACAAGATTTATCCATAATGTTCTAATAGTTAACAGGTTGACAAATTTTAGTCATACATGGAACAAACTAGGCAAGCAATTGGGTCTCTTTTCACTGAGATTCTAATTTCTTGGTATCTGTTACTGAGGTGAATTAACTCTGTACAGACTTCACAAAAAGGGAGATAGTGGGCAAGGGTACATAGCAATTATGCCTTGTTCACTTGAAAAAGTCAGGTGATATTAAAAAAAATTGAAAGGATATTTATTGCTATCTTAAGGTCAGACAGTCATAACTAAACAAATGTTTATTTTGAATTTTTATAATTTTTTCCTTCCCATACATGAGTAGTATATTACTCTGTATATTTGAAACGTTACGTATAAACGTACTACATATAGGTATGTAGTATAGGGAAAGTTACGTAATGCTGCAGAAAATCAATTTCGAGATTTCAATGGAAAATCACATTTTGGGGTCCCCTGATATTGAAAAAGTGTTGTTGTTTTTCAAAATGTACATCTGTTGTATGTGAACAGCATTAGCGCCTAAAACATGCATAAGATTTTTTTCCAAATTGAAGAAACTCCAGTCTGTTTGGCCTGAGTCGAAGCTCTGCGATTTTGATAATCATTCATGAAATGACATTAATGCGATATTGCTCTTTTTTAACAAAAATAGAATTTTTTGTACTTGTCTCTCATGTTGTTAATATTTACATTAGCGACAATTTGTTTACATTATTATGTTTATGAGTACATGTGCCTTAAATATTGTCATATAGTGTTTCTTGAAAACTCAACAGTTTTTTGTGAACACTAGCTCAAAATTTTGCAATTTCAGAAACGCTCAAATGCCATTTTCTCAAAAACAGCTACAGTTTTTTTCACACTTTTTGAAAGGTTTATGCTAATTGCTCTCTTTAATATGACGTAAAGTTCATTTTGGAGTATTTTTCGTTTGCTCCAAAATTACACAAATGCAATTTTTTTTATAGATCATGCCAATAATATGCGTATTTCTACCAATTTTTAAACACTATTGTATTTGTGAGTTAAAGTTTTTCAAATTACTTAAAAAGAAGTTTTTCAAAAACTCAAACATTTTCAGTGAAAAAGAGTTTCAAATTTCAAATTTGGTGTAATGTTTAAGAGCCATATTCTTTGAACTGCTCCAAATTTTACGAAGAATTTGCTGTTTAGGACAAGGTTTTACTGTTCTAGAATATTCTTAAAATAATTATTGCTTCTTGTTATTAGAAAAAAAATGCTTTACATGAAATTTTCATGAGCAATTTTCAAAATCTTTGAACAATTGGCTGCATAGCTCTTTAATAAATTTTGTGGTTGGTTAGTGTGAAGGACACTTAAGAGAATGATGTAGTTGTCTTTTTGTTTGAAAACTCTGATTTTTTGAAATTGAAAAAAAAATGTTGGTGTCTTCTTACAACTACAATTTTGAAGATAAATTTTTTTTTCTTAATGAAATATGTTCATCAAACACAGCTTTTCAAAAGAGGTCATGTGGAATATTTCAAATAGATGACTATTTTTTGCATAATTTTAGATGAAACATACATGCTTTTAAAACCATTTGAAACAATTTTCTCAGAAACAGCTTCAAATTTTGTCTTTCATTTTTATTCTTGAATACAGCAAAGATCTATAGATTTGGTGGTGATGGTCCTATTTTCATCACAGTGCATTTATTTTTGATGATTTGAAAAAATTCAAAATTGTAAATTTGAATTTCACATGCTTTGTTACAGGCGTTGCCAGTTTGGAAAATAGCGACTCAGAGATTTCAAAATTCTTTGAATTCATCCCATTATTGGTGATTATTATGATTGTATGATGTAGATAATAATTTTATGAAAGGAAATAGATTGAAGGAAGGTAATAAATTTTAACTTAGAACTCACAAACACACTTCCGTACTTCAAGAAGTTTTAATCAGTGATTATGGTATTAAAAAATCGAAAGCTCACTTCAAATGTAATCGGGGTAGACTTATGAAAAATTATTTTTGCTCTTCTGTATTATGATCTGTAAATACTATTACATTTAATTTATTCAAGTTCAATTCATTTCTGAAGGTAAGAAATGACTACTTCCTGACAATGGAAATAAATGCAGAAAAGTGCAAGAGACGATTTGTTTGGGCGCTTTTTCAAGTTATAACGGAGTTATTAGTATGGCAGAAATCACAATATTTTAATATTTTGTAACTATTTTCAATCATGCGAGAAAGTATGTGCTGTTGCAGTTCCTGTAGTTTTTCTATGTAACAAAGTACTGCATTTGTTTACATCTACAATTGTCCTTGTTTGAAGAAAAAAAAAGAACTGGTTGATTATGGGAATATCTATTACTTAGAACGTATGTATGAACATACATACATACATACATATATAAACATGTATACATGTTAATATTTTGATTATATCCATTGCAGGTATCAGAGAATAATGTTATTTCTTTCCCTTTCCCAACATTTTTCAGTAAATCCAAAACACATGATGCCACCTCTGTTTACCCCCTCTTCGCAGTTGTCTCCTCATGTAACAGTCTGCTTTGTTATCTGAAGCATTTTAAATTGTCAGGTTATAAAGAGAAAAGTCTTTTATAAAACAGTGACTAGGCATTGGGAGGCAATACAATCATATTCTGCCAAAACGCTTTCATCTCTTTGATTTGACCTTTTTCCTGTTCATTTCATTAGCCAGTTTTTTCTTCTTTACGAGATCCTTGTTCTTTCTAAGCATTTTCTTCTTCCGTCTCCTCCTGCAGGTGAGTTTAATACTTAAAGTATTTGGCAATTCACATGTTTCCTAGATGTGTAGAAACTTTAATTAAAGTCGCTATTAACAATTTTCTAGTATATCTGTATTTTTTTGGTATAATGCCCTAGTTCAAGGCATTGCTCCTTGTACATTGTATACATGATTTGAATACTTAAATCTTATGTTAAAAAAACAAATATTCCTTGGTCGATCAGACTCTGCGATTTTGCAAAATATTCTTTAAATCTTGGGGGAATTTGAACATAAAGCTCTTGAGACAGTTTCAAAAGTTTCTCAAAAATTGCAACAAATTTTTTCTTTTACATTTTTGGCAGGGTTATTGCTAAATATACTGTAGAAGATGACAAAACACCATTTTGCTACATTCTTTTGTGTTTTCAAAAAATACACAATTGTAATCTTCAGACACCTCTTTGGAGTCACTAACATTTACATTAGTGGCAATTTGTAAACGTATTGATGAGTACATGTGCTGTCCTATTAAGTTTCTTGAATACTCAAAAGTTTTCTGTGAAAATGAGCTCAAAATTCAGTATTTTCAGAAACACTAAAATACTGTGTCGCCGAAAGTGGGTCCAAAGTTTTTTAAATGGATAGTGATAAACACATTTTAACTTTTTTGCATGGTTTAAAGTAAGTTATGTAATGCTGCAGCAAAAAATCTCAATTTTTCGGCAGGGAAATTTGTATAGTAGGATCCCTGATACTGAAAAGAAAGAATAATTCTTGTTCCTATAGTTAGAAGTAGTAAATTACTTCCCATAATAGTTTGGGTGGACAGAATCTACATTTTGTGGGTCCTTGATAATGAAAAATTGGTTTCCTGTCTGTTCTCTGTCTGAACAATGCCAGTGGCTAAAACGTTTGCAAGATTTTCATTGCCAGTGGTATTCCCCACTCCATTTGGATCATATTACTGCCCCTTAAATTTGAAATGGATGCTTTAATTTTTGGGGGTACGTTACATGAAGCATCGGGAAAATTTTCCAGTTTTCTCAAAATGACTCCAATTTTTTAAAATAAATGTTGTCTTTGGGCAGTGTATATCATGCTTTAAAAAATTCACAAAACTTTTCAAAAATTGAAAGTTCAAATATTTTTCTGTGTCTTTGTACAACTACAATATTGAAGATAGCAATAATTTCTCTGAATTAAACCTGCCCTGTAAAATTAGATACTTAAATATATTTCTTCACATTTTTATTTCAAAATATGAATAGTTTTTTAGTAATTTTGTTTAAAATAAATGCTATTTTAACAACTAAAAAAAATTAATGATTCTCTAATAAATAACTCC